CTTAATAAAGAAACCCCCTGATGTAAAACATCGTTATCATAAAGTTCCAATTCAAGTTGCTGATTCTCTATGTTCTCAGTTCTATGATTTTCCCCTGGGTTCATATTCATCTTGCCAATCAAACACTACTACAACATCTCTTGAGCAACAATATCCTTCTGATCAAGAATATTATATTGGTTTAAAAAAATCCTCAAAGCGGAAATTTTCTATTAGAAAAAAAAGTTTATTTGGTTCAAAGAGGCCTCCTTCATTGAAAATTGATACTTTCTTGGCCCGTAAGGCTAATTAATAATTATGAACATTTTGTTTAACTTTGTCTAATCTAAATTAATATAATATCTTCTCTGCTCTTCCTCTAATTGTACGTTCAATATGTTTTTAAATTTAATCGATATAAACACTTCTAATTGTAAATTTGTATTGTTCATGTTTTCATTTACAATAAATGAATACATATCAGATATGCTTCATAGAAGAAAATCGTATACGTTTTTTATTGTGCGATATTCCTATATTTGTTCTAAATACGTACGTACCTTCCTGGGTGTATCCACCCCTGGAGATATTTTTATTCGAATCTTAGCCTTATTTATTTAGATTAAAAAATACAAAGTTCCACTAAACGTTAAAATGTCGATTATCCGATAATATTCATCTTTTTTTGCTCCGACTATATATATATATTTGTAAAACTATATATATTTTACGTATACAATTGGTACTATGTTCTGATTTCCGATTCAATAATCCGATTTACATATTTAACAAATTTTATGTACGTACTGTACGTACGTACGTGCGGGAAATACTTATTTGTGCGAGTGATACAACCCCAAAAAAGGAAATTCAACGTAAAAATAAACTAAGTTCGTGAAAATAAAAATTTAAGGTTAGAACGCTAAAGTTAGAGGCTATAGAAATAAATGTTTACTTCTAATACGTAAAATTTCATTTCCGTCACATTTAATTAGTGACCAAAGACAGGTTTAAACACTCAGTTTCTTGTATTTTCGCTTTTTTCGTTTTTTTT